CAAAGTCCTCATGCAGGTATGGTGACGCACACACCTTAGAATCACCTGCAAAACACCAAAATCACGGCCCATAGTCGCCGTAGGGTGAATAGAACTAGATTAGTGTTACCTTGTGTGTTTGTGTTCTATATTAAAATGATAAAGCCATTTTTTTTTTTTTTCACGAGTTACTTGCTCAGTGGTGTTGGTTTTTACTAAATCCCAACCTCAGCTTTCTCTATAGACTGAAGGAGGTTTTATTTACACAAGAATTTCCCTTTAATCGAAGCGCAAACTGGTTTCTTAACCATATGGCCATTCTGAACAATTAGTTCTGTTACTCAAGAGTCATAAGAGTAGTTTATCAGAATCATAAATGCATGTTCCAGTGAAAGGATCTGGACTCTGTGAATAGTTACACAGTCCTGTCAGGCGACCAATCAGAATCCGAGGAGTCAAGCACACCCTCTGTGCTGCGCTCTGATTGGTCAGATACGAGATAGCGTTTGATGTTGTCACGGCCGAGCGATAGTGAAGCTCTGTGTCATGTTTTACGTCAGCTGTTACTCAATCGAACTTTGATAGTTCAGTGATTCGGGCCAAAACCTTTTACCTGCATATTCCGAAATATTTAACTTTGCTCTAGTTTTAATCGAGCGCATCAATCTGTTCATTAAAACCATAGATGTATGATATAATCTGTTAATATTGACACACTATTCTGATGGTTATTGTATATATTGTTGGCTCTTCTGTTTTAGGTGCATGGATCTCATGGAAACAACATGTGTATCATGAGCGGTCTCACCCAGATGATCAAGGAAGGAGGGATGCGTTCGTTATGGAGGGGCAACGGCATCAACGTCATCAAGATCGCACCCGAGTCGGCCCTCAAATTCATGGCTTATGAGCAGGTAATAGGCCAGAGCTGATGCGATTTTCTGATCTGAGAAGCATAATGAAGACATATTGCTGCTTTTTCAACGCAATTCCAAAATTAAAGCTTTATAGTTAATGTCTGAAAACAAAGAAACCGGTGTATTATAATCAACTAAAACCATAAAAAAGATTCATTACTTGAAATGAAATAAACAACTGATTTTTTTTTTTTTTTTTACTACTTTTTATAGATGCTTATTGGCTAGCTACCAAAGCATAATTTCTCATTTTTTAATTTTATTTTTTTAATTGAAGTACTAATATCATTCAAATTAAATAAACTTAAAACTTGAAGCCTAATTGAGAAATTTTTTTTTATATATATATATATATATATATTATTTTTTTTTAAATATTACTAAAATGATTGCTAAAAAAATGACTGCCATTTTAATTCAAACTCAAATGAAAACCAAAATAAAATCTCATTTGAAAATCTAAAAATGTAATTCAAAATATTAACAAACTATAAAAGTATATCAATAATGCTAAAATAGTGTCGTAAATATTAGTAATTTACTGTTCTGTAAATGATGATTATTATTATACTATTTATTATCGCTATAATAGTTTTATTGTGATTGTAATATATTTATTGATTTGTTTTTTATAGATTATTATTATTGTATAGTCGTACTGAATGGGGGAATGTTTGTTCTTCACTGATCACATGCTTGCTTTGTGTGTAAATGCCACTCAAAACCTGCTGCATTAAATGAATTCCTTTTCTTCCTCATCAGATTAAACGGCTGATGGGAAGCAGTCAGGAAACTCTGGGGATCACGGAGCGTTTTGTAGCAGGTTCCCTGGCAGGAGTCATTGCCCAGAGCACCATCTACCCCATGGAGGTGAGTTACACCATCTTATTTAGTTGCTATTTTAATTAGTAATTCAGACATGGTTTTAACATGTAAGATACAATGTAACAAACCTCTGTAATGCTCTTCTGTCCAGGTTCTCAAAACCCGTCTGGCGCTGAGAAAGACGAGCCAGTACAAGGGCATCTCCGACTGCGCCAAACAGATCCTGAAGGGCGAGGGGATGACTGCGTTCTACAAAGGCTACGTCCCCAACATGCTGGGCATCATCCCGTACGCTGGCATCGACCTGGCCGTCTATGAGGTGAGCAGAGGAACCCAAACTAAAGCAAACACTGCTGCTGTCACTCGTGAATGGAAAAAGCTCATTTTATTTCCTCTTTTGCTCTTGATAGACATTAAAGAACACTTGGCTTCAGCGCTACGGCACGGATGACGCATATCCGGGTGTGTTTGTGCTGCTAGCCTGTGGTACGGTTTCCAGCACGTGCGGCCAACTCGCAAGCTACCCGCTAGCTCTCGTACGAACACGCATGCAAGCGCAAGGTGAGCTTTATGGTTTATAATAGGTGTAAATAATTGTATATATATATTTTTTTTATATATATATAAAACCTCTTTTAATAATTATATATTTAATACATTTTATTTTATGTTTTAAATATGTTTTATATAATATACATGTTATTTATATGATTTAATATAACATATTGATACATTTAGTGTATGTTTATATATTTAATATACATTTGTGACCCTGGACCACAAAACCAGTCATAAGGGTCCATTTCTAGAAATTGAGATTTATACATCAACTGAAAGCTGAATAAATAAGTTTGTTAGGATAGGACAATATTTGGTCGAGATACAACTATCTGGAATCTGAGGGTGCAAAAAATCTAAATATTGAGAAAATCATCTTTAAAGTTGTCCAAATGAAGTTCTTAGCAATGCATATTACTAATCAAAAATTACGTTTTGAGCAGCTGCGGTTGAAGGCGCGTCCCAGGTCTCAATGACGGGACTCTTCAAGCAGATCATGAAGACCGAGGGCCCCACGGGTCTCTATCGGGGTCTGACCCCAAACTTCCTGAAGGTCATCCCGGCCGTCAGCATCAGCTACGTCGTGTACGAGCACATCAAGACGACGTTAGGCGTGCAGTCAAGATGAGGCCTTGATGAACGGACATCTGGAGGTTTTTTTAACCTTGAGGTGTGGAGGCCATCTCATTCTGTGAATGTGAGCGAGGACGATGACGGTCAACGAACATCTCATTATTTATTTAGTATGCTAAAATGGTAAAAAAATAAGTTTGAGAGCTGAAATCAGGGACCAACGTTTTTCGATTTCATGTGACCATTGTGTGCATGTATTTCGTCACATACGTGTAAAGCGCCACTGCGAGAAGGAATCAAGTGCTTGTTATGATCCAGTCGGGTGGTGCAATTCAATCAACACTACAAACCACTGTGAAATGCATTATTTCATGCTGATTGAAGTTGCACTGCTTGTTTTCGTACTAATGCTGCTTTATATTGACTAAAGTAATATATTTATACATCTGTATAACCAGATACTTATTTATGTTGTGGCATCCGAGAGTTTAATGAATGTGTTGCACAGTTGTTTTTGTGTTTTTCAGTAGTTCAGCTGCTGTCTAATTTAATCTTAATTGTGGTCATTTTAAATCGGCACACTGATGTTCTTAGCTTTGCCTTAATATAATGTCTGGTTGATTTGAGAAGGAATGCACTTTAATTGCTTTAGTCAGTTGTGAATGTAATGCAATGCAATGACCGTAACTGTTGTCCGAGGGTGTGAGTGTTTTGTAATGGGGACCATATGTTCGAGTAATAAATTCACATGATGTGCTTACTTGCAGTATTGGGGTTTTGAGTACACTAATCTCAACATATAAATGCACAGGTTTGTGTTTGAGACCGTTCTGATGTGGTTTGGGAAAAGCCTCTATCCGGAGCAGATGTTCTTGGGAATTAATGATTCAAGAATGGCAGAGATTTTCATTGCAACCGCATTTATGTTTCAGAGCGGCTCTTATTTTAGTTTGGTTTTAGAATATTTTTTTAATTTTTTTTTTTTTTATAAAGAAATCCTAAAATGTAATTTATTTTTTCAATAAAAACTATATTCATAGTATGTTGTGTTGGTGTTTTTGTTAGAAATGCTTCCAAATTTTTGATACATATACTGTGTGTATATACAAAAAGCATTTTAACTAAAAACATTCCAATGGTTTAATATTTTAAATGTATTATCTAAAACAATATTTTAATTCAAATAATATTTTAATTTATTCTGGAAATAAGTCCACTTAAAAAAAAAACTGTTCTGTGTGTGTGTGTGTGTGTGTATATATAAAAGCTACATTTTAAAAATGAAATCAGGCCTTTCTTACATAATGTGGTAATATTATAATACATCTCTGTATAATATTACAATATTAATTCTAATAAGTGAGCCTGCAGCACAAAAGCAGTGTGAAGTCGCTGGGGGATATTTGTAGCAATAGCCAACAATACATTGTATGGGTCACAATTATACATTTCTCTTTTATGCCAAAAATCATTAGGATATTAAGTAAAGATCATGTTCCTTGAAGATATTTTGTAAATCTCCTACCGTAAATATATCAAAACTTAATGTTTGATTAGTAATATGCATTGCTAAGAACTTCATTTGAACAACTTTAAAGATGATTTTCTCAATATTTAGATTTTTTTGTACCCTCAGATTCCAGATTTTCAAATATTGTCCGATCCTAACAAACCATACATCAATGGAAAGATTATTTATTCAGCTTTCAGATGATGTATACATCTCAATTTCAAAAAATGGACCCTTATTTTTGTGGTCCAGGGTCACATATTACAATACGTCTCTGAACTAAATTAAACTCCAGTGTGTTTCATGTAGAGTATTTATACTTTGTCCTGATCAGCGAGTGCACACTGCCATCTGCAGCTCAAAACACTGTATATACCACTGCACTATTTTCTCAATAAGATGCTATCTATTTCCTGCTCCAGTTTTAAACATGATTTTGGCATTTTACGTGATTTATGTAAACTTCTAAAATCTAACGTTTTAATTTAATCATTTAAAACAACTAGTTCTAGATCAGAATCTTATTTTGAAATCCCTGGAAAATGACTTTTATTTTGAAATTCCGCTCCGGGAGAATTACTTTTATTTTGAAATCCCGGGAAAATGACTTTTATTTTGAATTCCAACCAACCGCTCAGACCCGGAAATGTCAACACAACAAAACCAGAGGAATAACAACATACATGACCAGCGATTCAATCTCTAAAATTAGTTTAAAATGTCTTACTGTATGTTAATGTATTTATGATAAGAGTACACACCGAATAGTACTTGTATATTTAATAATCTAGCTATGTTTGAAGTGTTTTTAATGTAGTTCTTGATCATAAGACGCAGGATGTTTGAGAACATGTTTAAATCAGGTTGTTTAGTTCGGACTGCTCATGTGATTCTGACCTGGCTCACAACTTTAGTCCTGTTTCTGCATAACACAGGTACATTTCATTGTGTGTGTGTGTGTGTGTGTGTGTGTGTGTGAGAGAGAGAGAGAGAGTGTGTGTG